GAACAATATTTTGAAGAATAAAAAAATATATAATAAAAAATAAAATGCTGGAAAACATTTTAGTGAAGTTGTCAGTGTTTTTATGCTGCCTTTGTTTTCCCAGTGTTTCCCTTGTGTTTCTCCCAGGTGTTTCCTGTTCCCTCATCAGTTTTCTGTTGTCGGTGTGGGATCATTGTATGTTCACCCTGGCGTCCCGTGTCTTCATGTCCTTGTACTCTTCATCCAGGTGAGGTTTGTGTTGCATTATCAGCCTTTTTTTTGTTCTATTAAAGATCCTGATCTTTTGAGTTTTTCCTTACACCTAGTTTGACACAGACCTGACAGAAGTTAAATAATTCATTAATATAAATACTAAAACCGTTGCTCGCTGTTCCCTGATGAGCTATTTTGACTAATACCTAAAACTTTGCTGTAGTTAGGTGTCGTTCATGGTGAAACCGATAAACAATATAAAACAGGTGAATGTTGAGTCAGCATCTTTATCAGATATTTGTCATCAGTTTGTTATGTTATTTAGCTGCACTGCAGTTCACAGGTGCTTTAAATGAAAGACAACTCTGCTCGACTTGTAAAGTTTTTCTTTTATTGATCCTTTAAATCTCTGTCCACATTCAGACAACTAGGAAGTATTTTAAAATGCAGATTACAAACAATAAAACCGTTTTTCAGCCTGTGAAACCAGGTCAATAAACTGGTACAGTTGGTTTGTTTTTCTAACCTTGTTAATCACACTCCCTCGCTGTGGTTGGTGTTTTATGAAGGCAGTAATAAATATTAAATATGCCTCATTTCTTAGCTGTGTAGAGGCAGACTGCAGTGCTGGAAGCACACAGAGGCCTCAGGTCTTCAGCAGTAACAGAGGTGAAGAGGAGAAACCACCGAAATTTAGACTGAGCAGCAAACCTGTTTCCACTGCATCACTACTGATGATGGACGAGTTTCTAACGAAGTCATGAAGAACAGATTAAATAACGTGAGCAGGTTTATATTGTGATAATTTGGACAGATTCACAGAAAAAAATAATACAGTTTTATGTTTTGTCACTTGTATGAACACATCAAAGAGCTGCTGTTCCTGAATAAAACCATCAAATCCTCCGAACAAACGACTAAACATAAAACCACACAGAGTGTAGACGATCAGAAAGAAAACAAAAAGTCAAATCTTCAGGCCGTCTGAACGGTTTCATGATGTCGATGCTTTGAGGTAGGCGATCAGGTCCTGGCGCTCGCCCTTCTTCTTGATGCCGGCGAAGATCATTTTGGTTCCAGGAATGTACTTCTTGGGGTTCTCCAGGTACTCCATCAGGGTTTCCTCAGTCCATGTGATCCCTGGGAGTAAAGAGCAGATCGTGTGATGTGAGCTCAAATCGTCAATATTTAATAAAGTTTAATAAAACGTGAAATGAGAGCGAAGAGTTTTAAATCAGGATTATCTCGTGTTGTAAAACGGTGGAGTCAGAGCGTTCACATGTGTGTAACCCTCCATGTGTAGCCCAACGTGACAGGACTGACCTTTACTCTTGTTGGCGTCTGTGTAGGAGAAGCCCTCTGCCTGTCCCGTTTTACGTCCTATAAGACCCCAGAGGTTGGGGCCCACCTTGTGCTTGCCCCCCTTCTCCACTGTGTGACACTGGGAACACTTCTGGACGAAGATCTTCTTTCCTTTTTCCACGTCACCCATAATAAGCAGCTGCAGACGGGACAGAGGCAGGAGCAGACACAGATTATTACCTGAACTGTTCGAATACCCTGCTGCTCAGTGAGGACATGGACCCGCTCTGTTCGAAGGATGTTGTGTGTTTTCTGCTTCATAAAGGTGACATGTCCTTCACTCACTGGTCCAACCAGTTACCCTGCTGGGGTTGACCCACAGCCAGCTGACCCTGGTCAGGTTTAAAGGGTAATTAAGCTCAGATTTGAAGGTTTAAAGGCAGATGGAGACAGTGTTGGTGTGTAAGTCTTGTGAACAGTGATGAACTTAGCTGAAGTCTGGTGTTTAATCCAGGCTCTTTGTTCATTTTTAACATAAAACCTTCAGATGACTGCTTTCAGTTTGAGCTCTACTGATGATCTTCAAATGACCTTTGTTCAAACCGGTTCTATAGATCAGGTTTATATTAAATATCATTACTAGTTTAAGGATAACCACGTTGCTAGCTTAAAGGACTGCGGCAAATTTTAGCTCTTAGTTTTTATATCTACGGTGCTTTCTGTCGTTTAGGAAGAGAAAACATCATTATTACACGCAGATCGGCACATATATTTAATGTGCAGGTAAACTGACCGAGTGTGAGCTCGACCGGACCGGCCTGCTGCTAACATTAGCCGGGTCTCCATCTCCCATCAGGCGGTCAAGGATGCTTCAATGTCGCGGTCTATCCGGGGCCCTGGACCGTGCTGCTGCCGCTGCTGTGATCCGAACCAACCTCCCCGGGAAACCTTTAAACTTTATATCAGTATTAAACCTGATTTAAACCTAGATAATGGCCGTGTTTTATCACTATACGGCTCGTCTTATTTAACAGAACAGACTCTACGCAAAGAGCGTAAATGAGCTATTCACTAACAGGAAGCTAACGGGACTCGTGTTACCGCCTGTTCTCCTTCTCTTGTAATCCAGCTGCAGACTCAATCTTCAGATGATGAATTAATTTCATATAAAGTATGAGAAACACTTACCTTTGGGTTTTAAATGTGCCGTGTGAAAATCTCTGGAGCGACGGAACAGACTGTTCCTCTCAGCAGCGGAGCCAGCAGTGACAGACGTGAGGAAGGTCACTTCACTTTGAGAGGCACCGGCTTTTTACGTCACTACGTAATCACGTGCATGTTCAGCCACGCTTCTGATGCGTTCAGTGGCAGCTAGGAATTAACGCTTCTACCCGAGCAGGGCGACCCAGTGAAGGGTCCGTTTTTATTTGACAGTTTTATTTGTTATTTTATTTGAACCCCTGAGACCGGCTCATCGAACTCCTGAGACCGGCTCATCGAACCCCTAGGGTTCGATCGAACCCAGGTTAAGAACCACTGGACTAGTGCATCCTAAATTTAACATTAGTTAGATTTTCTGCTTTTTCCCCCTTTGGAGGGACGTCACCTCCTAATAAATGTCACTACAGAAAATCTAACTGCTCCTTTTTAAATAAATACTTTTACTTTTAATACCCAAGTACAAAAAATTAGATACTTTAAGAGTTTTACTCAAGTAATATTACTAAAGAAGACTTTAACTTTTACTCAAGTATCACTTTGTGGTACTTTATACAACACTGCTTCCATTGATCCGTATTACTGTGTTACTGTGGTACTGTGGTACTGTATTACTGTGGTACTGTATTACTGTGGTACTGTGTTACTGTGGTGCTGTACAGATCAATGGTTGCTTGTCCTTCACGGAACTCACGATGCTTCTGAGTTTTACGAGCAGCACTTGAACGCAGCACCACCACCATTTTTTTGACCAGCAGAGAGAGAAAGACAACATGGAGGACAGCTCCTCGAAACAAATGCCCGAGAATCTCGACGATCCTCCAAACAGTCGGCTTTTCGTGATCACGAGTCGTCGTGTGACAGAAGATGAGCTTCGGGAAAATTTCAGTGATTTTGGTGAAATCCAGGGGGTCTGGGTGGTCAAAGACAAGCAGACAAAGGAGTCCAAAGGCGTCGCCTACGTCAAGTACGCCAAGTCCTCTCAGGCCTGCTTAGCTATGGAGGAAATGCACGGAAAAGTGCTGCTTGAAGGAACTAAACCCATCAAGGTAGAGTCGACAGCTATATCACATTAACATGGGAAGCAGTACTCTGTGTGTATACTTTTATATACACGTATAATAGTTGAGGTATGCTAACGTGTTAGCAACAGAAGAGGCCCGCACATGCTAAAGACCATAAACCGTACTGACTAACACATCGTAATCGTTTGTTGTACTTCTTTGCGGGGATAATTTCATTTTAAATGTTTATTTTCAGCTACTCCTGGTCTTTACTGACAGTTATGATTGTGTTGTTACAGGTTAATATGTTTAACCTTTGTGTTGTGTAGGTGTTCATTGCTCAGTCACGTTCATCTACAAAACACAGAGATGTGGAGGATGAAGACCTGACCAGGATCTTCATCATGATCCCAAAGACCTTTACAGAGGAGGACCTGAAGAACACGTTCAAAGTAAGTTCAGCTGTGTTCCTGTAG